ACTTTGAAAGAGCTAGGCTGCCTTTTCAAGGACTTTGGAAAGCAGGCAGAAGTTTGAACTGAGGAGAAACCCAAAGTGAAAGGGTTCGTCCACAGTGGCCACTTCCCAGGAGAAACCAGGACCAACCCCAGCAGAGGAGCGAGGCCGCTGAGGCTGCCTGACTGTGCACCCATCCCCTAGAGCAGGCAAACCCACGGGGTGGGGAGGGCAGGGGGCACTCCTGCCTGCTGGCATCAGGGGCTCCTTCAGTCCAGGGCAGGGAGATCCTCCTGTGATACACACATCATGTGATCTGAAGGTCTCCAACGCTGACAGATGTCCCCTCAGGACTGGGTCTTCTTCATGTGGGGCCCCAGCCAAGCCAGGCAGCTGGGCAGTCAGGTTCCAACATGAGACTGCTCGCTGGGACACACCCCCTACCCCCACTCCGAGGACAGACCCAGGCCTGCAGGTTATCCTCAGAAACAGGGCTCAGTCTGGATCAGGTGCAGAATAATCTGGAGTTTTCAGGTAGATAGATCTGTTTTGATCCAGTCTCCTGCAGAGTCTTGAGGAATCTTTGGTGACAACCACAGCTTATCAGGGATCTTCCTCTAGTCTCTGTCCAACCTGGAAGTGCTGGCATTTTTCCAAAACTGCACAATGTCCGGCCATATCTTCAATTTCAAGTGGCTTTGTCTGCCATAATTCTTGGTGCCTAATTTAGTTTCCGAACACACTACGTTTAACACACTGAACTCCATCCTGTCTCTGCTCTGTGAATAGCAGGAAGGAAATGGCAACCCACTCCACTACTCTTGCCTGGAAAATCCCATGCACAGAGGAGCCTGGTAGGCTACAGTCCATGGGGTCGCAAAGAGTCGGACACGCCTGAACGACTTCACTCACAGCCCTTAAGAAAGGTCCTTCTGCAGCGTCTGGTTTATTGCCTTGCTTGCTTGACTTGCTTGACTCAAGGACTGGTTTATAGGAAAGAATATTCCCAGTAACTCCACCGCTAGGGGCTGAGGGACTTGGAAGAAGTTACTGTGTGGTTTTGGACCTCACTTTCCTCATCTAGATAGTGAGGAAGCTGGACTATATCAGATCTAAGGTGCACTGGGGCCCTAATACCTCATCATCTGTGATCTAACCATCCTGGGCTCCCCTGGGGGGCTTCAGTTATTCATTCAACTCATTTTCATTCACGAATATCATGTGACAACTTCTATGCTAGACCTGTTTTTTTGTGGGGGCTGTTTCAGACTGAAGAGTAAATTTGGCTTCTATCATTCCATACTGGTCAGAAGCAGAAGCCTCAGCAAATGTGTTTTTTTGTTTTTTTGGGGGGTTTTTTTTTGCCACACCATTCGGCATGATGGATCCTAGTTCCTCAACCAGGGATCAAACCCTTGCCTCCCTACACTGGAAGCACAGAGTCTTAACTGCTGGACCGCTAAGCAAGTCCCCCAGCAAACATTTTTTAATCATATAATCCAATCCCCCTAGCCAAGTGTAGAACCTGCATCCCCATCAGATTTACATTTGTAAATGTTACACACAGGTACTTGGGAATATGTACAGCAAATATTAGTTATATTATTACTAGTAGTAAGAAGAAAGCTTAATTCCTTTCCTCATTTCTACATTAAAACATAGATTAAACAGAAGTCAAAATATTTCCTTCTTGCCATTCAGGGCATTATCCGTGTACTCTACAGGTCCAGAGCAGAAGGTCTCAGAAGTCCAGCTCTGTAGACTTTCAAGACTGATTGAAACAGATATCCAAGATACTTGGTATGGGTAACATTATATATTTAGTTCTAAAATACGAGTCAGAAATAGGAGATTGACAATCTGTGGCTGATATTAACTGAGGTTCTATAAAAATTGTTATTTAAAAATAAAGTTATGTTATCCAGCAAAGCTACTCCTGTACATGTATCTGGAGAAAACTATAATTAAAAAAGATATATGCACCCCAATATTCATAGCAGCACTATTCACAATAGCCAAGACACAGAAACAACCCTACTGTCTATTAATAGATGACGGGTTTAACAAGATGCAGTGTGTGTGTGTGTGTGTGTGTGTGTGTGTGTGTGTACACATATATATATGATGGAATACTACTCAGCCATAAGAACAAATGAAATTTTGCCACTTGCAGCAGCATGAATGGACCTAGAGTTTATCATGCTAAGTGAAGTAAGTCAGAAAAAGAAAGACAAATACCATATGATGTCACTTATATGTGGAATCTAAAATATGACACAAATGAACTTATGTGTAGAAACAGACTCACAGACATAAGACAACAAACTCACAGTTACAAAGGGGAAAGGAGGAGGAGGGATAAATTAGAGGAGTTTGGGATTAGCAGCTACAAACGACTATATATAAAATAGATAAACCACAAGGACCTGTGTACAGCACAGGGAACTATATTCAGTATCCTATAATAAACCATAATGGAAGAGAAAAAAATTGAGTTCAAAAAATTGCATTCCTTGGTCCTGTTTGGCAAATCTCCTATTATCTTTTCCCTTTCCCTTGGCCAGGCCTTATTTAAATGTCAAAAGGGTCCCATAAATACTAAAAGCATTCTCAGCACCATACCAGGCAATGTGGGTGAACATAAACGATCTCTGAATACAAATGTCCCTCTTGAGTTTAGCTGTATCGCTTTCCTGCCTGTGTCATGGGTGAGATGCATGGGCGGGCTTTAACCCCTGGCACCAGGATTTGGCCCACATTGCCTGAGACTTGAGACCTGACTCACTCCTTTCTTCAACCAGCCCGCTCAGCCCGGCTTTCGTGCTTGGCTCCCACGGCAGCAGCAGAGAGGCAGCACGGGCAGGTCAGGCTGGAGAAAGGTGCTGCAGAGACCGAGGCAGCTGTGGAGGTTGGGGTGTTAGTCACTTTCACTCGGGCCCTGCTGCGCCGGCTGCTGCAGGCTCCCCCTATGCTGCCGGCAGAGGGTCCATGCAGAAAACCAGCAGGAAATAGAATGGTCAGCAGAGAGCGTAAGAAAGAAACCTATCCTTTCTCAGACAGGAGCTTTTATTTCCACCCTGGTCCACAGCTTCAAAGGGCAGCTGCCTCACAGGGAGTGTTTGCATGTTTGAAGTTAGAAGACCGTTTCTTGGTCTCTGAAACCGAGTTCGAGAAGGCCTGGTTCCCAGCAGCTGTGGCGCCCCTCTCCCCACTCTGCTCCGCGGTCCAGCTATCCTGGTCGACCCTCTGGGAAGGAGATGTGGCCAAGAAACACCAGACCTGGCCTCAACTTGGATAATTCTGCAAACCTTTGTAGGAGGACAGATTGCACAAGGCTGCATGGGTGAGGTGGAAGGAAGAAAAAGGGAAGAGCGTTTTCTGCTTATGACTGGGACCCTGTTATTCATTGGCTTGGGTGTTTCAGCTGAGTTCTGTGGATTAGGAGCCGAGTCATGTCAGCACTAGAAACCTCCCGGGTCTCAGTCATATGTGCTACCCCACCTCTTCCCCGCAGCCCAGACCATTCCTCTCAGAGAACCCTCCCTGTTTCGCGCTTTCACAGGGCGAAGCTGTTCTGAGTCTTGGGGTCACACCCAGCTCACACGTCCCAACAGAAGCTGAGGAAAGGTCTGGGGTCCTTCTCTGTGGCCTCCATCTTCAGCCCTGCCCTGCTTCCGGAGGTGGACAGGAAAGAGGCCTCCCGGTGGGAGCTGCCCTGTGTCCGGCCATTGTGGAACGTCTGTCCTGCTGGTTTGGCTCAGCAGAGGGCTGTTGGGCACCCAAAAAGCCAACAAGGCTGTGTAATGTGGGAGACAGTGAGGGCCACGTTCCCACACTGCAAGTCATGATGACACCGGTAAAACAGGCTGGTGGGCGGGGGAAAGTGAAAGGAAAAGAATAGGGGGAAGAGAAACCAAAGTGAGGCACACAGAAGGATCGAGCAAGAGTGGAGGCCAAGGCACAGAGGCCGGGAAACGGGACAGGCCTGGGAGAGAGTCCGGGAGAGGCAAGGCGAGAGTGTGGGTGGGAGCAGAGAGACTGGACCAAGAAAAACACAATTAGACATGAAGGGAAGATGTGGTCATTTGTTTGAGGAAATGGCAGGTGATCTGCTAACACGTATACCAACAGAGGGGGTTGGAGGCCTGGTCCAAGGATGCCCCTGGGTGTATCACCTTCAAAGCCCCAAATATAGGACAGATCAGCCCTGGCAATGCAGTCTACATCTCTGCTTGCTCAAGGCCTACCTCCCGCCAGGCAGAAAGGGCCTGTGAGACACTCAGGAGAAAGGAAAGAGGATGTAAGCTGAGGGAAAGGATGGGGGAGATCCATCTGTGGGAGATCCACAGAGATGCAGTCACAGCCCTTCCGTGAGTTCATCCCCAGGCAGACCTGCCCCCAGGCTTGCGGGCGATGCAAAGAAAGAGAAGCAATGGCTTTCAGCCTCAAGAAATTCACAGTCTGAGAGAAGGAACAAGATGTACATATGCAAAGCAATGAACAGCAGCATTATTATGGGGACTGCTCAGATGAACATAGTAAAGAATATTGGTTGAAAGGAACAAAGAATAAGATAATCAAAGAAATGAACTACAGAAAGGCTTTCTTGACAGTGTTCCTAACGTGAAACTTTTTTAAATGCAGGAATTAAGTGAAATGATGTTGGCTGAACTGGATAGAACATTTTAAACTGGGCCAAGAAGGTGACCTGGGCTTGACTATAGCATAGCACAGGCTCCGAGTCAAAGCAAAGAGCAGGAGGCACAACTGCTCAATCCGGTCTTCCAGGTGAGTTGGATCTACCTGACCTGATAGTCAACTCAATAGTCAACATTTCAAAACACTGGTGCCCTAGGAGTCATGCTGTTGTTCAGTCACTAAGTCATGTCAGATTCTTTGCGACCCCATGGACTGGAGCCTGCCCAGCTCCTCTGTCCACGGAGTTCTGCCGGCAAGAATACTGGAGTGGGTGGCCTCTTCCTTCTCCAGGGGATCTTCCTGGATCAGCGACCAAACCCGTGTCTCTTGTGTCTCCTGCGTTGGCAGGCAGATTCTTTACCATTGAGCTGCCAGGGAGGCCCATCCTAGGAGTCATATTTAGCATTAAAAGACATTAAGGAAAGACTGTTGAGATGACCCCAGAGGAAGCCATCTTTCCAGCATGGAAGCAAGACGTGCCCTAGTCTGAGACAGATGCTGGAAGACAACTTGAGATCAAGTGTATAACTGAGACTGGGGGGAGACCCAGTAGGTGGGTTGTACATGTGTGAGTTAAAGACGCAAGGGCATTTAATTTGTGACTGAGAAAAAAGGATAGTGAAGGTAGTGATAATTACAACGAACATTTACTGAGTGCAAACTACATGTCAGGTGCTGACCTAAACACTGTACATGCATGACTTTACATGATCCTCACTACCACCAATGAGGGGTTTTTAACTACTATTATTATTTACATTTTATATGTGAGGAAACTCATACACAGAGAGATCAAGCAATTACACAACAGAGGTTAGCCCAGGACTCTAAATTCCACAACCTTCTCTCTCTGCAGCCATGGAAAATTCAGAGTCTCTGTTTCCTCATCTGTAAGCATTTGCTATCTAACCTGCTTGTAGATGATGAAGCCTCAATCAGGACACTGGCTGTGGTGTCACTCTGAGACTGTTAGCATTATTAGGAAGGCCATGCTTTTTCCAAGAATGCTAAATGTATGCTCACTTTCTCATGTTAATACCACAAAGCCTTGAAGAAGTTTATAGACACTCGTCAAATAAAAAAACCTCCTCTGTGTTCACAATGGACAATAATGCCAGGTGAATCCTGTCTAAAGAGGTGAAAGGTCTCTTTCTGATACCCCTTTACCATTCTTACAACGCTTGGGGGCTGTGACTTTTTTTTTTTTTAATTAATTTTTATTGGAGTATGGTTGCCTTACAGTGTTATGTTAGTTTTCACTGTACAGCAAAAGTGAATCAGCAATATGTATACATACATCCCCTCTTTTCTGGATTTCCTTCCCCTTTAGGTCAGCACAGAGCACTGAGCAGGGTTTCCTGAGTAAGGTCTCCTTAGTCGCCTGTTTTACACATAGGATCAATAGCGGATGGGACTCCTGTTTCTTATGAAAAATTTCACACTGAGAACAGCCAGGCTTTTGTCCTGGGCAAGAGTGTCTCCCACGAGGCCCAACCAGAGGACCACGCCATCTTAGAAATCAGGTTTTGAGTCTGAGAGGCAGCAGATAGAGAAGCAGATAGCAAATACATCTGTTTTTACAAGAGCCTGTTGTTCTCTGTACTAACTGCTATAAAAACGACTTGAAACTAGCCACATATTAGTTTTGGTTCTCGTGACTAAATCAAGGAATGGCATGATGGTGCTGTGTCATTAGAAATGAAACCAGTTCTTAAACAAGAGAATAGGGCCGACATTTTAATAACCTGAACGATTTCATAGAAAAATCAAAGCTGAAACTTCTACACCCCAGCTCTGAACACCTGCTGCTTAAGTTTGGTTCTGAACCAGTGAAACTTCTTTCTTGCGATGAAGACACGAGATGGGCCCTGACTTGCCCAACACTTGACGGTCAGGGAAGCCTTCCTTCCATCTGCTATTCTGCTAGGCTCAAATGTGGGCTCGATCTTGGCTTCTACAGGAAGGACTGTATTTGGCACTTTGAGAAAATAGAAAAAGTACCTCATAGCTAATTTTTTCAAATATGTGACCTTATATATATATTATATATGTGTGTGTGTGTGTGTATTTAGCTATGTGAATTTTACCTTCCCTGAGGTATTGTCATCCACATCTTCTCAGATAAAAAACTGCGACTTGAAGAAGTTAAGTCACTCATCAAGAAGCAGGCAGAACTGGGGCTCTGAACAAAAGTTTTCTTCTGTATATCTGCATCACCTCCAATTGGGCCTTTATCACAGTAATGACGCTGATATATGTATATGTAGTATACATATATAGTATGTATATATAGTATATGTAGTAATCATATACAGGTTGCCTCCCCAGTGTCCTTCCCCCCGTTTCCTGCCACAGCACTCACATTTTGCCTCAAGGGAACCACTCTCCTCACTGTCTCTCCGACTCTCACAGCTGGATTGATCCAGCTCCCAGGGGTAGCCAGAGTACCCATCACCTGGCCATGGTGAATGGCTCAGAGGTGGGCATACAGCCTGATTCAGGCCAGTGGAATTTGAGGAAACGTTTCCTAGGGCTTCTGGGAACAAGTTTCCTCAGCCCTCTGTGGGTTTACCAGAGGGGACAATCCCCCTTCTCCTGGACGGTATGTTAGAGAATACAAAGTTCAGAACTCCCTCAGCCATTTGTGTCACCAAGAAAAGGGCCAGCCTAAGGATGAAGCCAACACACAGAAGCAGGGCTATACACAAGACTGGCATGGGGCTGGTATCGTGAGGAGGATGTAAATTCTGGACTGCGTGCTCAAGTTTTTAGGCTATAAGCTAACGCAATCCCTTTGTTTGCTTAAGCCAGTTTGAGTTTCTTATTCTGTCATATGAAAATTCTTAACCAATGCAAACACCACTGGCATCATTCCCAGTAACATTTGATGGTTGCTTTGGTTTCTCAGTCAAGAGCATGAAACCCGTTTGACCAAAAGGACCAATCCTTCAAAATTCATCAGCATCTCTGGAGCACGCCCATCTCTGGTGCCCGACTTGCCAGAGAGGACTCACGTGTTTCTGTTCCTGGGGTCTGGTTCCTTCTGTTTTCTGCTCCCTGTTGGCTCAGAGTAGGCCCGTCCTCTTCCCAGTCCCTCCACAGTGATGGGAGGTGGCTGCCCTCTGCCGAGGAAGCCAGCAGCCAAGTGGGCAGCCAGCTGCAGACCTCAGGCATTGGCACTGTCAAGAAAAGGAGTGTCAAGAAAGGATTCTGCCACAATGAATTTTTAAATATAACATAAAGTCAGGTGGGAGAAGGGTCTTTGGCATATAGCTAAACACACAACAGCACCACCCCCCAGCCCCAACCCAAGTTCCCTGTCAGAATGTTAAAACCCAAGCAATTCTGGCACCCCTCTGAGGACCTTTATTTGTTAGTGACTGATGTTCCCAGAGCTTCAGGGCATCCAAGATTACAAAGTCTCGTGGGACTGACAATCTGTGATAAGAACTGGTTTTTGTGATTCTCCAACAATCTGTTTCTCTTGAAAAATTCTGTTATTTCCACTTCTGGCCACTATGACTAAGCACAGGGGAGAAACACAGTCTAAACAGTTAAAGACTCTGTAACTGCCCGACGCAGTCCAGCAGCAGAGGAAGTGAGCATATGTGCGCACCGGCAGGTGCGGCGCGTGAGGGAGGGCGCTTACCCTCCCCCGCCCGTGACCCCAGACCCAATCTGACAGCAAGACCTTCCACTGCCCAAACATGTCTTGACTCAACCATCTCTCCCCATCTTTACTACGATCGTGTAATTTACCCATTCAACACATGTACACCACAGGGCTACTGTGTTCCAGGCACCGTTCCAGTGGCTGGGAGAGCGAGACTGACTCTTCTTGCTGTTTTCTCTCTGGACGACCCTTCTCACTCACTGGCCCCGGTTTCCTCATTTGCTCTCTCCTTCCATTCTCCACAAAACAGGAGCCTAGAAGTTTTTCTTAAATATCCACACTTCCCTGTTTGAAACCCTCCAATGACTTCCCACTGCTTCTCCATTAAAATACCAAGGCCTCCTCAGCCCTACTAGTGGGCTGCCTGCCTCCCTGTTTTTGGCCTCTTCTCACATGCTAGGTTCATTCCCCACAGGCACACCCACTTCCTTTCAGATCCTCAAGTATGTTATGGCTTCTTCTCTTTTCAGAGCTTTCATCTGCCTTTATTTCCTCCTAAAACAGTGGCTTCCAAATTTTCTTCTGACAATCATCCCCAGTAAGAAATGTTCTATTAGTGAACACATCAACCTACACATAAAAAGAATTTGAGCTCCACATGATAATACTTCTAGTATGTTCTATTCCTTTTTTAAAAAATCTAGCTGTGCCCCACTAACCCGCAGTTTGAAAACACTCCTCCCTCTGCTCTTTGAATGGCTGAGTAGTTCTTATCCTTCAGCTTTCCACCTGGATGCTAGCTGCTCACAGGGGCCTTCTCCAGCAACCTGATGTACCCCAGGCCCCTGACGTAGATTATTTTTCATCTGAGTCTCCTGTCCCTTCCTTTCACAGCATGTATCAAAGTTATGTATTTCTCAGCTGAGATTTGCTCACTGTCTGTCTTGCAGGCCACACCACTAATGGTTGAAGGCATGGACCTGTCTGCGCTGTTCCCCACTGTATATTCCACATCTGGGTCAATGATCAGCACGATAGAATATACATCCATATTCCTTGAATGGCTGACTGAGTGGGTGTGTAAGTGATGCTGAGGTCTGGATTGAAAAACAGGCCTCCCCAGTGGAAGGAATCAGGGCTCCTTGGAGAAATGATGGGTTCTAGGGCTGGGACAGGAAATCCACAGGAGTGCCAGAAAGTATAGAAACACTCAAAAAACAAAAGGACGGGGTATGTTGAAGGGACATAGGAGTCAACCTAAAAAGAACACCCAATGGCCAAACTTGAAACAATCTGAGCCTAATCATCAGATGATAAACCAAATTTTTAAATATACACTAGAGTCCATACCGATATAAGTGGTTGACTAAATAAGTAAGTTCTTTCTTACAGAAGAACTTAAATGATTAATATAAATACTACCCTCCAGGAGGTGGAGTCTAATCCTCCCCACTCCCTTCCTCCGTGAGGGGTGGAGGTGCTGCACTTAGTGACTTGCTTCCAAACAACAGAGCAGGTAAAAGAAGAACAGGGTCACTTTCAGTGGGGAAACCTGGCAAACAGGACTTCGGCCAGGTGCTCAAGACTGATTTCACCGTCCTGTCATGTGGGCGGCACATCCCCCCTGATACGATGTGAGGAGGGCACTTCTGCGCTGCTGGCTTCCTCCAATAGCCCACAGCCCTGGTGTAACTGAAAACTGCATCAGACAAACCCAACCGGCAGGGCATTCTACACAGCACCTAGCTAAAACTCTTCAAATCTGTCAAAACTCCATGACAAACATGACAAGAGACCATCAGACCACAGGAGTTAAGGAGACATGACAACCACCCGTGGTGCAGCATCCTAGGTGAGACCCTGCAACAGAAAAAGGAAATCAGTGCAAAGGCTAGGGAAACCTGAATCAAATATGGACTTAATAAGAAGGTATCAATATTGGTTCCTTAACTGTAACAAACATACCACTGTGATGTCAGATGCTGACCGTAGGAGCAGGCTGAAGGGTATGTGGGAACTCTGTACATTATCTTTACAACTTTTCTGTGAATAAAAAAACTGTTCTAAAATTAAAAAGCTTAATTAAAAAAAAAAAAAGTTCAGCCTTCATGCCAAGAGCCAGGCCTTCATTTAGTTGATTTTATGCAGGGTCCACAAAGTACTTCTAACCATGTTAGGCACAAAGGCGACATGTAGACACATTGGAGATGAAGAGATGCTTATACACAAGGCAAGGCATCCAGGGTGATAAAACCACAAGCAGAGCATGCAGTTTTGCAGGCTGACTAGAGAGGGGAGGCATGTGTGTGTGGTGGGGGGGCAGGGCAGGCAGAGTAGGGCTGGTAATGAAAGCAATGATGAGAATGAGGAAGGAAGACTAAGACCGGTTGGCTTTGGAGAGGTGAAGTTGGCTCTTCCCTACTGGAATGTCAGCTCCCTGAAGGCAGGAACCTTGTCTGTCTACCTATCACTATACTCCTATGGTCAGAACTGTGCCTAGAACACAGTAAATGCTCAAAAATGTGTATTGAGTAGATGAGAGCCTGGACAAACAGACGAAGTCCTACTGAAACCTCACTTGTGCTCCAGAACCACTACTGTCATGGGAGGTCTGCCAGGTGCCCACTGGATGTGCCTTTTTGGACATGGTGATGATTGTGTTTGCATTCTCAGAGGTCTTCCATGAAGCATGCAGATGTTAGCATTGGTTTAGAATGGCTCTAATGTTCACCCACAGGCATGGAAGTGCCTTGGAACATTTCTTGATGGTATTAACAGATAGGTCTGCTGATACCCAATGCTTCCCAGGTGGCTCAGTGATAATAGAATCCAAACAGGAGACGTGGGTCGGGAAGATCCCCTGGAGAAGGAAATGTCAACCCATTCCAGTATCCTTGCCTGGAAAACCCCATGGACAGAGGAGCCTGGTGGGCTTCAGTCCATGGGCTTGAGAAAGAGTTGGACATGATTGAAGAACAGCTGCTGACACCAAGGAGTGAATGGCATCTCCTCTTTGCTCTAGCATCTTGTTAAACCCAGCAGGAGCTCTGAGCATTGTAAGAATGGAGAGAGTTAGCAAATGGCTTCAAACTTCAATAGTCTCTATAAATATAAGGAAACAGTTTAGAGGGATGTTGAATTTCCCTGTAGGCATCTATTGACATTCCTCCTTAAAGGTCCCAAATACTCAATGTATTATATTCACTTGCATATAACATTTTTTTATGAAGAAAAATTTAAATTGTGGGAAAATGATGGAAAAATCATACCCAATTATGAAGCTATTAAGAATAGGGCAGACTATATGTATTAATATGAAACAGTCTCTAAAACACACAAAGTAAAGCTGCTCTCTGAAACAAACATAAGACTTCAGTTAACAGGCGGGAGTTCTGGGAAGACAGCACCGGAGGGATGGGAGAGATTTTCACCAAGTGTATACTTTTGGAACATTCTGAATTTTGCACATGTACAAAGTATCATGAATGAAAAAAACTTTAAAGAGTGATTCCAGAGGAAGAAACTTTTGAATTTTGTCTGCAGGTTATAATAATCTCCTTTTTTTGATTTAAAAAAAAAACCTCTTTTTTTGTTCTATCCTGATTATCTTGGAACCTCTGCTTTCTACAGGATCTGACCCATGTCAGGTGATAGTCCTGGCTTTTCACATCATCTCTAATAAGCTTTTACATGAAGTGACAAAGGTATATAGATGAGATTGAAAGAGGAAGGCATTCATCATAGTTTATACATTCAAAATTAGGAATTAATTTAAATACTAAGTTGTATAGTTATTTTGTAAACAGCATATTGAAAACTACAATATAAGTAGTTTGTGCTTTTGGCTCTCTGGGCAGCACCGTGGTGGTCAGCAAAAACAAGCACCTTACAAAAATGGCAAAAAGGGAGCCAAGAACAAAGTGTTTGACTCACTTTCCAAGAAAGATTTGTATGCTGTGAAAGCACTGGCTATACGTCAATGTAAGAAATACTGGGAAAACACTAGTCACAAGAACTCAAGGAACCAAAATCACATCTGATGACTTTACAGGTCATGTTTTTGAAGTGAGCCTTGCTGATCTGCAGAATGATGAAACTGAATTTAGAAAATTCAAGCTAATTACTGAAGACGTTGAGGGCAAAAACTGCCTGACTAATTTCCATGGTATGGGTCTCACCCATGACCAAACATACTTCATCATAAAAAAAATGGCAGATCATGGCTGAAGGTCATGTGCATGTCAAGACTGCCTATGGTTATTTCCTTCATCTACTCTGCGTGGGTTTTACTACAGAATGTAACAGTCAGATTCAGAAGACCTCTATGCCCAGCCAAATCTGCCAAATCTGGAAGAAGACAATGGAAACCATGACCCAAGAGGTGAAGACAAATGACTTGAAAGAAGTGGTTTCAAGAACTGATTCCAGAAAGTATTGAAAAAGACATATAAAAGGCTTGCTAATCTACTTATCTGCTCTATGATGTCTTTGTTAGAAAAGTAAATATACTGAAGAAGCCCAAGTTTGCACTGGGAAACCTCATGGAGCATCATGGTGAAGGTAGTAGTTCTGGAACCTGCTGGGGATGAGACAAGTTGTAAAGCTGAATGAGTGATGGATATGAGCCAGCAGTCCAAGAATCTGTTTAGAATTCAGACTTTGAGTGATGAAAAATAAAAGATCTTATTTGGGGGGGGGGGAAGCACATTACTTTGTTAAATGTTAACATTTAAAAAGTATCTCTAGGCCATTAATAATGAATCACACTAATACCCTAAAAACATTTGAAGAAAAGACTTGAGAAGTCCCTTTGAATCAATAAACAATAGATCCCTCAAAAATAACTGATCAATAATTCACCTCAGATAAGTATTTCATCAAGATCACATTCTGCTCTTAAACAATTTTCTGTTTTCTCACATTCCAAAACAATACGGTTTCAAATTCTGAAGTCAACTCGTTTCTGAGTACGGAGGACACTGATGTTCGCAGTACACATGAGCATTCAGAGTTCTTTAAAACTAGAACACGTTTGTGAGAAGATGCATTTCAATCTCATTGCAGCTAATTTCAGAAGAGAGTTCAGTATTTCTCAAACATAAATTTCATTACAAGGCTAAGCCAATGTAAACTATTTACATTCAGCTGCCATTACAAGATGGGCTTCCCTGGTAGCTAAGATGTTAAAGAATCCACCTGCAATGTGGAAGACCTGGGTTCACTTCCTGGGTTGGGAAGATCCCCTGGAGGAGGGCATGGCAACCCACCCCAGGACTCTTGCCTGGAGGATTCCATGGACAGAGGAGCCTGGCAGGCCACAGTCCATGGGGTCACAAAGAGGAGGACACGACTGACTGACTAAGCACAGCACACAGGACAGCTGTTACATTAAAAAAAAAAAGCCTCCTGTAAGCAAGGATGGAAGGTCTGAGACAGCAGCAAGCACATCTGCAGTGTGTTTGCTGGAAATGCAGACTCAGGCTCTGTCCCATCTCCTCTTCACAAGACACATCTAAATGGGCAGTGATTCCCATACTTACAGTTGGACAAGCTGCCAGGCTAAGAAACCTTAATTATGTTCAATTCAGGTTATACTCTTTAGTATATACTTTTATATATTTAAATATATTAATATATATTTATATATAATTAATATATTAAATTATATTATTTTAATTTAAAATATTTAATTGTCTTCTTGCTATATTCATACTCTTCCTCTGCTGAGATCCTTGATTTCTTTTGGCTGAATTATGAGTATAGAAGTTAGAAACAAATCAACTTGAGCATGACTGGCAACTTTGTGAACTGAGAAAAGCTCTTTAAGTCTAAATTTTCTCATCCAAAGAAAGAAGAAATACTTATTTCATAGATTTTTGTGTGACTGAGACTGATACCTAGTATAGCAAGTATCCAGTGTCCTGCTATATTGTGACTTCCCTTTAGATAACTGTAGTTATATGATTACCTTCAGACTTGGATAAGAATGTCCCATATGTTATATTCCAATATGTTTCTACTAGAATGCCCAGTTTTTAAATTAGACATACAAAAATGTAGAAGTTGTATTTCAGTCTCTTGCATTAGACTGGAAGTCTGATTAGTGATCATTCTTCATTTATGTTTTTATTCTAACATATGGTAGGAGTAATATTTAAACTGTATAGTTTTTTTTTACAGTATTTATTTTCATCATTACAATATCCCTTTGAATTAAGTAGTGTAGCATTATTATTATTCTATATTTATAGTTGAAGACTTTGAAAATATTTTGGTTGGTATTTAATATGATCTATTTCAGAGATGCCCAGTGACCTACCTTTCTTCCTTTCTTAATTTTTTCCTTTCTCTTTCTTTCACTTAAATATTGCAGTCAAAGCTCTCATCATTGTTGTAATGTTTTAGTCAGCTTGGGCTGCCATAACAAAATGTCAGACTGGGTGGCTTAAAAAGCAGGGATTTACTTCTCATAGTTCTGCAGATGGAAAGTCCAGGGTCAAGGTGCCAGCCAGCATTGGCTTCTGGTGAGAGCCGTTCCCTTTCCTTCGATGTCCACCTTCTGACTTTGTCCTCACGCGGAGGAGAGAAATGAAGCAAGCACTGTGATGTTGTTTCTTAAAGGACTCAATCTTATTGAATTGGGGCCCAACTCTTAATATTTCATTTAAACTTAATTACTTCCTTAGAGGCCCCACCTCCAAACACAGTCCCACTGTGCAGAGGGCAGATTAGGGCTTCAAAAGAAAAATTTTAAAGGGGATCCAAGCATTCAGTCCATAACATGAATTGGACTCAAATTTGGGTTGAAGATATTGGGCATCTTAAAAGAGAATACTGAAAATTGCTTATTTCCACTATGCACATTTTTCTCTACTAAGACCTAGAAACTCCAGTAGTCATAACTGTAGCGAGTGCACTACGTGCTTTGTGTCTTTTCTGCAAAACTGGCAAGAGATAAAATTAAAAAGAAAAAAAAAAAACAAAAAACAGCTACTGTGGTGCTGGTAACAGTTTCTCTCATGTGCTTTTTAAAAAGCTTAATTATATACAGGGTACTTGGTATTCATGTCATGCCAAGCAAAGGCATCCTTGTCTCAAAAGAACTTGTGACATAGTCTTTCAGACTTAGAAGGCACTAGTTACAAATTGCCTGGAGAAATAAACTGAAAGAGACTTTAAGTGTGTGAGAGATGAATGTCTTCTAGACCTAGAAGTTTTCTCCAGAATAAAAATAAATTGATTAAAAATGTTCTAAAAAAACTTCAGACAGTGTGTGAATGTTTCATATTCTTAATTTTAAAAAATAAGAATTGATATTTATTGAATATGCTTACTATTGTTCAAATTCTATTAAAGTAAAACACAAGTGCAGAAAAGTACACTGGAAGACAATTCTTTAAGTTTTCACAAACTTGAACTTACTTCTGTGAAACAGGACCCAAATAAACAGTTTTTCTAGAACCCTAGTGTCCTCTTCATGTTTCCTTCCAATCACTATACTATCAGTGCCTATTAAGGATAATAGGCACAGTTTTAATCTCTGAAATAATCACTTAATGTATTTTTGTAGGTTATTTTAATGGCTTTATAGAGTATCGTATCTTTTAAGTCTGGCTTCTTTCACTCAACATTATATTTCTGACATTCATTAATATTATAGTAGAATTCCATTCAACTGTGTGAACTAAACCAATGATGGTAATTGGGCACTTCCCAGGTTTGGTCTATTATGAATAAGGCTAACAGAATCATTCTGGGACATATCTTCTGGTGAGTATTTGTACAATAGAATTTCTATGCCAGGAGAAATGCACATATCCATCTTTAAAAGATTCTGCCAAACATTC